TTTAAAATTTTGTACCAAATAGGGATGTAATAATTGTTTTATTTTTCTTTCAAGTAATTATAAATAGTAGAGCAGTTTGATTCCAAAAATCAGCCCGAAGAATAGAGTAAAATTTCATCACTCCATAGACTCATAGATTCTAGAATGTGTCAACAAATAGAAGTTTCCTATTGTCCATATCCAAGTTGATAAGAAGGGCATTTCTTCTCAATATATAATCATATCTTCTTTTCTCTTACACGTTTTGTATATTGATTTTCAAAATCCAGTTCACACCATAAAAAGGTTTGAAAAAGTATACATTATTATTTTATTTTATTTTTGACTTTTCGACGATTAAATTTCTAGAAAATACATATTAAATTCTGTATAAAGATAAGTTAGTATTTATAATTTTTACAAAGTCACTATAATAATCAAGCCATCGTTTGATATGAATTAAAATTAAAATTTTCACTTAAATCAAAATTAAAAAATAATTTAGACTACATATTTTATGGGATCCATAACTTTTCAACACAAATCTCATCAGTTTTTGTCATAATTTATTAAAGATTTGATTTTAATCCCCTATCAAATAGGGGTTAAGTTGATAAATACTTTAAAGTTATTTGATATTGCTTGCTAAATGGTTAAAAGGGTATCGATTGTAGAGTATTTTTGTGATTAAGACTTCTATATACAGCTAAAAGAGAACAAACATAAAGTAATAATTAATGTAAAAGGAATAGGGATGACAACGGAGTGAGTTAATCATTTTCATCTCTCATCCCATCGAGTGTTTTTTTCACCTTGTCCAACTCTCGTACCCAATTAAGACAGACATGACGAGTTCATGGTGGGAACAAGTCGGGACAGGGTAGGACATGTCCCCATGTCCCATGTACTGTCTCATTTATTAATTTTTTATGTCTTTAGTTATTGAAAATTATTGCCTTTGTTTTTTCAATTTGTTAAAAGCAATTCATGTTATTATCAGAAAGGATGGAAATTCTTTTTTTTTTTTTTTTTTAAATTTAGAATAAATTTTAAACCAGTTGGCTAGCGAGGTAAGTACTATGTTTCCCATACTCACCCTGTAAACACTTTGGGGCAACGACCCTCGACCTGATTACCCGATTAGGCGGGAAATCTCCGTCTCATTAGTGACGGCCCTGCGGGTATCGAATTTAACAGTTTTTTTTTTGTCATCCCTAAAAAAGAATCATGTTTTTTTACCTTTGATAAAAATTGTAATGCCAGGTTCCTGTACATATTTATGATGTTGTCTAACGATAAATTTAATGTTTAAATAATAAATATTCGTCGATGTGCTTAATTACCATGTTATTTGGTTGTTACGTGTGCAACGATTGTAAATTCTAAAATGGTGCTCGCGATGAGATATACGTGATTGTTATAATATAATTAACAATAAATAATGAACTCAGAAAAGTTTCTTCTTAATTAATGATATTGAACTAGGATGTTTGGCAGGTTGTCTTCATGGGCTGTTAAGTACAAATCCACTTGATTTTCTAAAATTGAATTGCTAAGAGTGTGTTCTCTTTCCCATTTTCTGTTTTCAACTTTTCAAAACGGTGAAAACGTGTCCTCTTACCCGTTTTTGAAAAAAAAAAATTGTAAAGAAAACGAAAAACGACAAAAATGTCGTTTTGGCTGTTTTCCATACAAAACTCTATAAAATTACAAAACACGGAAAACGCCTTTTGAAACACAAAACCAAATCTTTATCACTTTCTTCAAATCCATTCTATGTCCTCTCTCTCTCCTGGACGCCGGCTGCGGGTGATCGACGCCGACTATGGATGGTCGTACACTTCAATCGGCAACGAAGGAGATATACCGGTGCCGCACTAGTGTGGGGACGCGATGCTGCTATGAACTCAGCGTCGTGACCCATTCATTGCGACCCAGGGGAGCGATGCTACTATGGTTTGGGGTCGTCTTTGCCAGCGGTCGAAGAGAGAGAAGCTATAGTTCATCACGATGGGTGATCGACATTGCAAATTTGTCCAGAATCTGCATTCTCTCTCATTTGTGGGTTTTTTTTTTTTTTTTTTTTTTTTTTTATTGGGGGAAACACGTTTTTCATTTTTCTGTTTTCAGAAAAAGTTTCTCAAAATGTAAAAAAAAACGTATTTTCAATAATTTCAAAATATACACTCAAAATACAAAATTCAAAATGAATTCAAAACTATAAAACTAAAACAGGAAGAGAACACACCCTAAAGATTTTAAGGAAGTAAAACTCCGCTTATTCGTTCATAAGTCACAATGTTGAATTAATATATATGTTACATAAATACTTGCTAGTAAGTGAACTTCGTCATTGTCCTTTATACGTGCAATTCAACGTGTAATTGTATATAATCACACTAAATTGTTATTGCCTTATACACTATGAGAAATGGTCATCTCATCTCATGCTTATAATTATGTTGTTGCAACTACAAGCATGCATAAAATGTAGGATGATAAATGATAAATTTGACAAATGGTATTTTTGAAAGATGCACATCTCGATTTTTGAAAAAATGATAGAGCGTATGTCTATGTCATAAAAGGGGAGAGTGGAAAATGGGGTGTGGGGACAGGCGCACCCGACTAAGGATAAAGCATAATATTCAATGTTAACTACTTAGCTTGTATATTAATCGAATTCCGTAATAATTATCCACTGCGTTTGCATTTGGTTTATTAGACAATTCACTAGAGTGTGCTCACAATGTTAAAGTTTTCAGAGAAATCATAAAGCAAAAAGGGGATACACCTTTTTCAAAAGCAAATATATATTAAATAAATTTATGTCATCAACATGCATCATGTACATGAAGTTTGTTTATTGAATATTAGCTCATTTTATATTTCCCCCCAAGTTATAGATAATGAGAGCTCGATGAATCGAGGCGAGTACTTTTGTATATATATTTAGTACGTGCAAATGATTTATGCTCATTTTAAAATAAAGTTAAACTTTGAGTTAATTGTCTTATAGTTATGTATAATGTTTTCTACAAATAATTTCATATAGACAGACATTAATATTATGTTTTGACAACCCTTTTTCCCCCAGATTCCGAAATTTATGATTTTCTTCAAAAATAATATAATGTTAAGACTCCTAAGTTTAGGATTTTTAGATTTAGAGATTACAAAAATAATCTTTTAAAATAAAAATTGAAGGCTTGATATGGAGCCCCTGTTTGATGGCCATTATAAAGAGAAATTAGGGAAAATGATGGTTAAAAATTAGGAAAGTATTTTGAATTTACGTGTAAAATTTTTAGTATGTGAATGTGTAGTTAAAAATAAATATGAAAAAAAAGAAAGAATTTTAAAATAAAGTGGCCCAATAAGTAAACAATATTAGAAAAATAATAATAGACAAAGAAAACTGGATTATCAAGAACACCAACCCAATGGTGCCAACCAATCCACACGTTTTTCTTTGCCTTTGTAGGATTTGAAACCTTTTTGCAGATTCGCTTTATCTATCTTTTAGCCTCAAACTGCGGCGGTGAAAATATTAACAATTGTGCTACGTCGGTCGGTGTACACGTCCCTCACACAAGAAGGGTCCACGCCTTTTTTTTTTTTTTTTTTTGAATAATTCCATAGGTATAAGGAATTGTTGATAGAAATAATATAAGTGTTGTGTTGATAGCATTTATATGGTACAATTACTGTGTTTATCGTGTCAAAAATCAATAAAAATCTATTAAGTGTTTCTCTATAAAAATTCTGTCAATTTTTCTGGACTTGTAGCAAAACTATTTTTTTTATTAGGCATGAGCCGCTCCCTCATGTGAAGGGCGTGTATACCAACAAATATCAAAATTCAGATATTAAAAGTTGGTAAACAAAAAGAATAGTGATATCCATAGCTGTATATGGCAACATAGGACAAGTGAGGTATTAATGATATTATCTCAAATCACAACTGAATTCTTCATTCAATCTCCATTGAAATTATGATACGTTTTAATATTAGTGGAAGTGACTATGAACTTCTTAATTTCTTGTTTAATTGTTTAGCAGAGGGAGTTTTTGGGGCTGATGAATTTTTACAAAGACAACTACTGAGCATACTAAATCGTTAATTCTAAATATTATTATCTATTCTCAGCTGTTGTTTGATTCCCATTTCTCTAATTTTTTTTCATACCATTTTTCAACCACATATTTATTGAAATCCATTATTTTTATCAACTTTTTAATTACATTTCGTTAACTTTTATCAAAATTACTAAAAATATGATTTTTTAAGCTATATCAAACATGGGCTAAATGATATGTCTAATTGACGAGTAATGACATTTATCATCATTCGTATTCATCATCAGCTTGGATCTCATAATCCTACATTAATTAGACTTTTCGTTTTATGACATTTGTGATGTGTCATCTAAACTAGGGATAAACACCAATGATGATATGCAATATGATTATTAATTAAATGTTATGCTATCAAAGAAATAAATTTTAAGTAATGTTCAAAATAAGTTTCTACTAATGTCTTCGTTCATTTCTCGCCACTCACTTTTTCCTTTTAAAATCATTTTTCTTTTCTAGAGCTTTCTCGAGAGCAAGAAAATCTCTCGAGTAAGAAAGAGAGGAAAGCAAAGAAAACTAATAACATAATATCATTAGAAATAAAATCACCTTCCGTTCTTCAAATAAAATTGAGAATATAATATATTGCAATCTATTGATGTTACATCACATGTGCTTTAGTATCAATTTAAATAGAATATATTATTTTTCGATTATATTAGGTAGTCCATAGTTGTCCCACTTGCATTTAAAGACATAGGTTTACACAAATAACCTCCACGTCATCCAACCACCGGCTGCCGCCTGCCGTCCCCCACCTACATCTGTAACCCTACAACCCTATTTGTATTGTACCTACACGGCGGCCTTCCCACTTGCACCTTAAATTGGCCCCACAAAAACAAAGAAAGAAAATGAAAAATTATCTAAACTCACCAGCTCCCACAAAATATTGGGATCCTGTCTTCTTTTTACACCGCGTAGATAATTATGCATACCCGCACACATATATAAAGAGGAATTAAGTCTCTCATCGAGTAATTTCAATTCTTGAAAATGCCACCCTGGTGGGGGAAAAAATGTGGCAAAAACAAGGAAAAAAAGCCGGAGGATTCTGCAGCAATCAAGAATGAAAAGAAAAGGGACAAAGATAATAAGAATAGGGGTGAACAGTTAAGAAATTCACCAAGGAATAGCAGAGATTTTTCAGGATTTGATTCAACCCCATCTTCTTTGGATAGAGGACACCCACTGCCTACCCCTTCTTCAACATCAAATGATAATAATATTCACGGGTTTGGATTCGGGTTCGGAACTGGGTCCAGTTCTGATTCAAGCGTCAGCTCATTTGGGTCGTTTGATGATCATCCTCATACTGTTGATCATGGCGCTTTCAGGTTCGCTTCATTTTTATCGAAAATTGAGGGTTTTGTTTCTTTTTTTTCTTTTTGGGGTTTGTCTTGATTGATTATTTGCTGTTTTGTGTTTAATTTTGATTTTTGTTGATCAAATTGAGATTTTGATTTACTCATTTATCCTAGCGAAAGGGGCTTTTATCCTGGATAGAATTTTCAATGGATTATATCTTGAAAGTGTATTGATTCGAAGAGGGAAATTGAAGATTTGATAAATATGAATTTGTCTCGGATGATGCAGAACCTACTAGAATCGGAATAAGTTGTGCTTCTTTTTTTACCATGCAAATACTCTTATAATTTGAAAATTCGTTTTTAATGGCAGAACAAATGTAGATAACAAATCAAGTCCAGTTCTGCGAAGCCCTGGTCGAGGACTAAGGCATGGAACTAATATAATGACATCTCCTCATCGTTCACGATATGGTGTTATTAGTTCAGATTCTCCAACTGGGAGATCAGAAGATGGAAAGAGTGAATTTTATAGACTGCCTCTTCCACCCACTTCGCCTACCAGCCCTTTTGCTCTGCTGTCCCCAAGAAGTCCTGGAGTGAATGAAAGCTCACATAATAGTTTAACAAAATGGAGGAAAGGGAGGCTTCTAGGAAGAGGCTCTTTTGGTCATGTTTACCTTGGATTCAGCAGGTAATGAGACTTCCACTAAAAGTTGTATGTTATTAAAATCTTTTCTAGATAGGAAAATTCATACATTTTGTATGTATATTGTTACAGATTCAACCCTAGTCCCCACTGTCTTTTGACAACAATAATAATTGAAAAATAAATCAGAAATGATTTTTGTCTGACCTCTCTGGCTCTAAAACGGCTCCTTGCTGATCTTTTATGTAGTAGGGAAATTGGGGAGGTCTGATAAATATAAGGATTTCCAATATACCCCTGAAACAGAAATAGTAGACGAGGGATAAGTCTAACATATGATTAGGCTCCAGGCAATCCAACGCACAAGATTTTTGTTTTCGGCTTTAAAAAGATCTATGGTCTGTCTACACTGGGTTTTTGCTGTGATGCATCATTTTTTGACCGTGGTTGCCAATTATGACCTTAAGTTAATTATCTGACCCCATTTTTTTTGCTTAGTTATATTCCTATAATTTAGCTAATGTTTGTCTGAATTGGCAGTGAGAATGGACAAATGTGTGCCATAAAAGAAGTCAAGGTTGTTTCAGATGATCCGACGTCGAAAGAAAGTCTCAAGCAATTGAACCAGGTTTCTGAGAATCCTTTATGCCCATGTTTGAGCCACATTCTAGGAAAAAATGCATTATTCATGTCAAATCAATGGGAAATGTGTGATTAAAAAATAAGAAAAAATTTTAAATTTACATGTAATATTATTTTAATGAAAAATGTGTGGTTGAAATGATGTTAAATCACTGTTGAAGGATGTATTTTTTTGAAAATAATGTGGTCAAACAAGCCCTATATATATATAGTGCCTACTCCAATGAGAATTTCAATTCTGCTCAGATTTTATCCTCGAGTTTCAACTCTTGAAGTTTTAATGCCTTGTCATCTATTTGGTCCTTGACAATTTTGTCTGTCTCACAGGAGATTACCTTGCTTAGTCAGCTCTCGCACGGGAACATTGTTCAGTACTACGGAAGCGACCTGGTATAATTTTATTTTACGCTGTTTTAGTGCCCTCCCGGTATCTCTTAGCTGTTATTACATATTATCTTAATTTGCTAAAACCCTTTCAAATGAATGGCATATTATAAATCTGGCTTACCTGTTTTGCAGAATGAAGAAGCACTATCAGTTTATTTGGAGTACGTTTCTGGAGGCTCAATCCACAAATTACTGCAAGAACACGGATCCTTCAGAGAGCCTGTTATACAAAATTATACTCGGCAAATTCTCTCTGGGCTTGCTTATTTACATGGAAGAAATACAGTGCACAGGTTACATTTTGTCTCTTCTGTATTAATTACTCATTTTGTTTATGTGAAATTTCTTCTCTTGAAAGTCCATAACTTCTCTGCAGAGATATAAAAGGAGCAAACATATTAGTAGACCCGAAGGGTCATATCAAACTTGCTGATTTTGGCATGGCAAAGCATGTATGTATCAACTCTTTCTTTCCGTAAAAGTTCTTTCGTCATAGCTTATTGATAGATGCTAAATAACTAATAATGTATGCGTTTGAGGCTATCGAGGAAGTGGAAAGTAAAACTCCTATGCCAGAAACAATGCACGTCTAATCTCAATGTTTACTAATTAATGTACACGAATTTAGTACAGGTTCCGTTTTCCCGAATCCTGGCATTCAATCGTATGAAATCATAATGGCAAAAGAATCTTGAGAAATTGAAATTATTTGCAATTTTTGTTTTTGTTTACTGAATTGATCATTTTGTTATTTCTGCAATTGTAGTAAAGACACCTAATTTTACACACTGTTAAACAGATAACAGCGTATTCTTCAATGCTCTCTTTCAAAGGAAGTCCTTATTGGATGGCACCAGAGGTCTCTCTCTCTCTCTCTCTCTCACTCACACACACACACACACACACACAAAAAGCAAAGAACACACAAGCATATTGGTGGTGCCTCCTGGATCCCTATCCCCCGCTGCTTGCATCCCTCAAATTCAAGAAATCCCCACTATATTTTCTCCTCTGTTATTAATTGTGTATAATTCCTACTTGTAATTCCTTACTCGTAATTCCTTACTCTTTGCTTGTTTCAATTTCAGGTTGTAATGAATATGAATGGCTACAGCCTTGCAGTGGATATATGGAGCTTAGGATGCACAGTTCTTGAAATGGCGACATCAAAACCACCTTGGAGCCAATATGAAGGGGTAGACCTTTAAATTCACATTCTTGAAGCCATATTTGTCAACACTACCGTTGAAGTCCTTACATATCACATTCTTTTGTTTTTATTCCATTTAACAGGTTGCTGCAATATTTAAAATCGGAAACAGCAAAGATATGCCTGTGATTCCTGATCACCTATCTGACGATGCGAAAAGTTTTATACGACTCTGCTTGCAGAGGGAGCCATCCGCAAGGCCCACAGCTTCTCAACTACTGGAACACCCTTTTGTGTGCCAAAATACAGGACGGTCTATGAATATAACCCGAGAACCTTTTCCACATACCTTTGATGGAAGCCGCACTCCGGTAAATGGATTCAGAATGCTTCATCTCTACTTAGTGAATTTATTTTTACGGAAAAAGTAATTCACATTTAGCCTTGGTTTGTGACCCATTATTTTACATTCTACCGCATAATTTTTTCTAAAGTACTCATTTTGAACCACACAATCTTCATTAAAATAATATTACACGCAAACTAAAAATTTTTTCTTTTTTTTAACCACACATTTTCTATCAATCTACTATTCCATAATACATTTTTCAAAATTAAGGGGCTCAAATGTACCCTTAGAGAATGCCAATTTTTAGGATTTCATTGTTGAACATTCTTCTAGCATATTATCATTACTATTGACACTTTAAAATGATCGACATATTCAAGTCATTTGTGAAAAGGTGTATCCTATGATTGACTTTCCGCTTTTAGATGAAAATGAAAATTTAGCCCCCGTTTGTTGTAGATTAAAATCAGATTATTAGTAGATTTTGATAGAAGTTGATGAAATGTGTGATTGAAAAGTTGCAGGTTTCATGGTTAAAATTAGCTTTTGACTTAAATTGAGATATAATCAGATTTTAATACATACCAAATAGTGGCTATTAGTAAATTTCTTTAGTCTGTCTGTGGAACATGCGGCAAATTGGCAAATGAATCTTTACCAGTAGCTGTTTACATAGTGGACATGACGAACTCGAATGTCTTGATATATTTTATCTTATCCTTCAAGATATTTTCAGTCATCTGTCTAATTTCTTCATCTGTCTATATCATGGCAGACAGCATTGGAGCTACGCTCGAGCAGAATGAATAATATTTCTTTTGACAGAGATGATGCAGCGAGAACTGCAGTTTCGAGGACCTTATTCAGCCCAAGGTACCGATAATGATACATATGAGAAGAACATGCGATACTTTTATCTGAATGATATGTGGTTAGATAATAAATACGCTGGCCTCTAAACTTTTAGTTAATGGTGATTGAACTTTAAAATTTGTAATCATTTAATTTGCTGTTTACTTGACTATATATGTGACATGGCAGTCTAATTGGCGGCCTAGTTGGCTAATAACTAGACTGCCACTTCACTGTTTGGACTCCGTTATTAAAATTAAAATTTTGCAAGTGAACACATAACTTTTTCATACTTTTTATCGTCTTTCTCCAAAATCATTTTTCATCAAATGTTCTTTCTCAAACTAAAAATTTTGCTAGAAGTTATATTACCACCGGTGTTTTTGACCCGAATAATATATCGAGAATCATACTAAGTTAACTGTCTTGCTTTCTCATTGTGTGCAGGGGAGATGCTAGAACGATGACATCCTTGCCGGTGTCTCCCTCATCAAGCCCATTACGCCATAATGATCATAAGATTTGAATACGAGTTGAGCTGAGCTCGAGTGTCTACGGGACGATCGAGCAGAATAGGGCCCCAATCGTACCCATAGTTAATATAAAAAAGATTACGATGTTTAACCAACTAATTGTAGGCACTAGGATGTGAACACAATATCATTTATATAAAATGCTTAAAGCATTTTTAAGAGATTCTTTAAACATGATTTGCTCTCTTTAAATAAAGAGTCAATCCTTAAAATCATGTTTCAAGAGAATCTTTAAATTAACATTTTAATTTTACCACTCTATATAAATGGACTATTCTCTCTTTACAAATATGGTAGAGGACCACTTTCAATTCTTTAGTGTGGATTTGAACCGCCAAAGTCGCTCACTATAATTAAATACATTTAAAATATTTCAATTTTCAATGTAAGAAAATAATATAATAATTTAGAGAAATGTTAGTTAAAAAGATATAAAAAAATAATAAATATTTTTTGAAAGTAGTAAAATTAAGTGTTAAATATAAAGAGCCAGATTGAGTGGTTCAAAAATTTTACTCTCTAAATTTATAGATTCTTCAAATGATAGAATATGTTTTTTAAAAATAGAGTTTCTTGAAAATGCTCTTAGATGGTGTGATTCAATTTTAAAATATAAATAAACAAAATTTAAAAATGTATGTAACATAGTTTAGGACATCCGAGTTTTGATTTGTTAACACATTTTAATTGTAATTAAGGTGTACAATTTTTTTCTCATTTTACGTCTCCAATTTTTCTATTGAATTATTCTTTTATTGATTAGCGTATTTTATCTTTGATATTATTTTCTGTCCAGAACATCTTTAATCCTCGTTGGGTATCCATTTTTGTAAGAATGAGAATGAAAAATATAAGCGTTATGGGATCCATACAAGAAATAGTTCAAATATGATGACTTGATGCGATGGATAACGATCATAATTTTTATTTTTATGACGAAATTATGAGAATCAAATGGAAGCTTGGTATATTATAAAAAATTTATTTGTTCGTAATATTTTTAGGCAACAAAAATAAAATACTTTTTTCTGTGGAATTTGGACAGAAACCTATTCAAAGAAGAAATCAATGAATTAATGAGACGTTGAGAATCATAATTCGACGAAAAATGTTAAAAATATAAGTACTATAATGAATAAAAATTTAGGATTTCAATATAATTAAAATGTCCTATAATCATATAGTCAGTTTATTAAATCCTTATTTATGGAAATTGAAATTAAATCAAAATTTTAAATTAGAGTCCATAATTAATTTTATTAGATTTTCATTTTTTTAATCCCACTTTTCATTAATATTAAAGTTCACTAAAATATGATTTTTATTTTATTTTATTTACTCCAATGACTGAATAAGTCGGCTTATATATGTAAGATATTCATTGGACCACGTCACCATTGTAAAATTTACCGACCTAAAACGGAAGCATAAGCATTCCCCAATCGTACTGTGCAATCTTCTTCCCACCAATTCATTTCTATTCAAATCCCCCATTTTCTTCTTCTCCGTCACTCCTCTCTGTGCAATCACATACATCAACACGGGGAGGGAGAGGGAGGGAGGGAGAATAGAAGCAAAATATTGAAGAAAAATGCCGATAGAAATGCCCAAGGGGCTGCAATTTTCGGTGGACACGTGGACACCATTTTCAAGGAGGAAGAGGCACCATTTCCTTACTCATGCCCACAAAGACCACTCACAGGGGATTATTACGTACGCCTCTTACCCAGTCTACTCCACCAGCCTGACCAAAACTCTGCTTCTCCAAAATTACCCCCAGGTCACTTTAATTTTTCTCATTTGCTCTACTATTCGGTATCTTATTTTTTATAAATTGATGATTTATTGTTGAATTATGTTGGGGAACATGTTTTTTCTTGGACAGCTTGATGAGTCATTGTTTGTGGATATTGAGGTTGGGCAATCTTTGATTGTCAAGGATCCCGATTGCGATTTCACAGTAACAGCGTTTGATGCCAATCACTGCCCGGGTATGTATTTTTTTTTCTTTTTAATTTTTATTACTATGTAAATATTAACTAGTCTTAGGTCTTATTGTTTCTATAACGTGACTTTATATGATGTGATTTATTCTTTCATCTGCTGGATTTGAGTTCATGTTTGATTAGGATAGTGAGTTCGATTTAACTGACATTTATACTTTTTTCAAGAACATAACTAGTGGATTGTGATGGTTGGAAAACCTTATTAGTTGGTAAGCAATTACAAAATTTCCTACTTTCATGTGCTTTATAGACTAATATGTGTTTTTTATTAGCTTTTTTATGCTAATGAATCTTTTGGTATATTTGAAAAATGATCAAAGCTGCTTAAAACGGTCTAAAGACTAAATCAAATGGGGGAATACTTGATTAAGTAGTGATGATAAGTTTTAATCAGAATGTAATAAAATTTGGTAAGGAATTGAAATTTATGCCTGTGAAAATTTTGAATTTAAAAGTCCTCATTTAGAATTTCAATGCGGATTCTCTATTGTCTTTTATAGTGTTGTTGGTTTATATTAGATATTATTATACAAAGTCTGCTTGTTAGGGTTTTATATCTTCCTTTTGCTTGGTAATTTATGCTAATTCTTAAGTATTTTATTCTTTGGTTTGATTTTAATGTCTTTTCTTAACTGTTCCCATGGCCTGTAATATCGATAATGAACTTCTAAAGAGTTTTACAGTGTAAAAAATTATTGATTGAAATTCTATTCACGAATTTCAGGAGCTGTCATGTTCTTGTTTGAGGGAAATTTCGGTAACATTTTACATACAGGAGATTGCAGGCTGACCCCTGAGTGTTTGCAAAGCTTGCCAGAGAAGTATATTGGCAAGAAAGGGAAAGAACCCAAGCGTCGACTTGATTATGTCTTCTTGGATTGCACATTCGGTCAATTTTCTAAGAAAATGCCCAGCAGGCACATGGCAATCCAACAGGTATCATGATCTGTCCTCGAATTTTATTCTGCTATAAATGGAAGCTGCAAAGCACCAGTTATAAAGTGTTGGTGTAACTAGAAATTGAACGTGTTGGGACCTATGAAAATGGTAATGAGAGGTTAGTGTGTTATAAGGGACAAGTTGAAAATTTTACACTTAGGCCTCGTTTGATACACATTAATGTAAAAATGAAAATGAAAAATATAGTCATTACGGCCACACACAAAAAATAGAAAGTCAAATATGGTGGCTTGATGTGATGGATAACGGTCATATTTTTAATTTTAATGGGCAAATAATGGAAAATAAATGGGGGCTTAATTGAGTTTGATATAATATTGTAACTGAAGGGGCGATATCTGACCATCCTAAAGGTCCATTTTTTTTCCTCCTTCAGCTTGATTTTTTTAGCAGAGAGGGGGTTTGCTCTCTGGCCCCCTTTGTGAATGATATTGGTGGGCTGAACCTTAAGTATTTTCTTTTTATCCTCTGTTTGACAATATCAATCATATATAAATAGTCAAACTTTATTTTCAACCACTTCAATAGGAGGTATCATGATCTGTCCTCGAATTTTATTCTGCTATAAATGGAAGCTGCAAAGCACCAGTTATAAAGTGTTGGTGTAACTAGAAATTGAACGTGTTGGGACCTATGAAAATGGTAATGAGAGGTTAGTGTGTTATAAGGGACAAGTTGAAAATTTTACACTTAGGCCTCGTTTGATACACATTAATGTAAAAATGAAAATGAAAAATATAGCCATTACGGCCACACACAAGAAATAGAAAGTCAAATATGGTGGCTTGATGTGATGGATAACGGTCATATTTTTAATTTTAATGGGCAAATAATGGAAAATAAATGGGGGCTTAATTGAGTTTTATATAATATTGTAACTGAAGGGGCGATATCTGACCATCCTAAAGGTTCATTTTTTTTCCTCCTTCAGCTTGATTTTTTTAGCAGAGAGGGGGTTTGCTCTCTGGCCCCCTGTTGTGAATGATATTGGTGGGCTGAACCTTAAGTATTTTCTTTTTATCCTCTGTTTGACAATATCAATCATATATAAATAGTCAAACTTTATTTTCAACCACTTCAATAGGCCACAAGTACCGTCCACTTATCCATTACTCATTTCTATCTTTTATAAATCTTCCCAAACGGAGGCTTAAATTTACCGGCCAGACATGAGGTTGAGTACTGTTCCATTGAAGTTATGAAGGATGAAGCTGGCTGAATTGTTTGTCAAATAAGTGGCTAAGGTTGTCATTATTTTCTGAGATAGTTTAAGCCAAAGAATTGCATGATCCTTCCAAGCTGGCATGTTTCGGAGTAGAAAGGTTGGAGAAAAGTAATATGTGAAATCATACTTGATCATGTTTTTGTATTTTGTGTCTCCTGCTTTTGAGTTGTTCCTCTAGGTGGGGAAACTGTGGCCAATAAGATAATGCTGTTAGAGATGAAATAGAGATATCATATATCCCCTCTGTATATCAGTGTGTAGTTTCTAGAGACAATTATCTCTCCCGCGAAAATATCTGGGCAGGATTAAATATATGATTGGGTTACCTGATATAGAGAATTTTGATGATTATAGTGTTTAGAAGTGAGACATGTTATGGCATTAAATGTTTGCTGGAGAAGCTCATACATTTCTAGTAGGAAGATGTTTTAGCTGGTGGTCTCTAGGCAGTTCCGCCAAGTCGTATGTGGCATCATTAGAACACGAGGAGAAAGTTTGAAATCTTTTCTGCGTGCTTAAAAGATTGGATTCCTGGAAGTTTTCAGATTTTGCGATCTCTTCAAAATGTCAGGACGATATCTGGACTTAATTCCTTGTGTAACTTATGACTTGCATGTCTCTTATGAGCTCTTGTTTTCCCCTGGACATGATTAATAGCTTGAAAGCTTAAAATAGTCCCAATAAATGAGTGCCAAAGAAAGCTGGTATTATTACTGAGAGACTTATCTTTGTCCCCTGGATATATTTGATTACTGTTGCCATTTGATATCATATCAATATTGCTTATTCCTCTCTCCCTCCTCCTATCTATGTGTGTATGTACTTGCAAATCTCTTTTTAACGGACAGTGTGCATTGACAAAAAATCATGCTTTCTTATAAATCCCACATGTTTGAATAATGATATAGAGAATTTTGATGATTATAGTGTTTAGAAGTGAGACATGTTATGGCATTAAATGTTTGCTGGAGAAGCTCATACATTGCTAGTAGGAAGATGTTTTAGCTGGTGGTCTCTAGGCAGTTCCGCCAAGTCATATGTGGCATCATTAGAACACGAGGAGAAAGTTTGAAATCTTTTCTGCATGCTTAAAAGATTGGATTCCTGGAAGTTTTCAGATTTTGCGATCTCTTCAAAATGTCAGGACGATATCTGGACTTAATTCCTTGTGTAACTTATGACTTGCATGTCTCTTATGAGCTCTTGTTTTCCCCTGGACATGATTAATAGCTTGAAAGCTTAAAATAGTCCCAATAAATGAGTGCCAAAGAAAGCTGGTATTATTACTGAGAGACTTATCTTTGTCCCCTGGATATATTTGATTACTGTTGCCATTTGATATCATATCAATATTGCTTATTCCTCTCTCCCTCCTCCTATCTATGTGTGTATGTACTTGCAAATCTCTTTTTAACGGACAGTGTGCATTGACAAAAATCATGCTTTCTTATAAATCCCACATGTTTGAATAGCAGATTATCAATTGCATATGGAAACACCCCAATGCCCCTACAGTGTATTTGCATTGTGATCTTCTCGGTCAAGAAGAGATACTTGTGGAAGTGTCTCAAAGATTTGGTTGCAAGATATTTGTTGATAAAGCAAAACATCCAGAATGCTTTAATGCTCTGGAACTTACAGCTCCAGAAATCCTATCACAAGATTCGTGCTCCCGTTTTCAGTTAGATGGATTCCCCAAACTATATGAAAAGGCTGAGGCAAAAATTGCCGAGGCTCGTGCTAATTATCAGCAGGAACCTCTTATAATACGCCCTTCTGCACAGTGGTATGCATGTGATGAAGGTTTTTCACAGACTGAAAAGCGGAGAATAGAAAGACCCGATCAAGCTGTCAGGGATCTTTATGGTGTTTGGCATGTATGTTACTCAATACATTCGTCCAGAGAAGAATTAGAGTGGGCTCTGCAACTTCTTGCACCCAAATGGGTCGTGTCAACAACACCTAGTTGTAGGGCTATGGAGCTGAATTATGTTAAGAGACACTGCTTCAAAAACCAAGGAGCTTCTGATGACTCTCTCTGGAAACTTCTGGATATCGGTGTAGTAGCATCATCAGTGGCTCCAGACGTATCAAACAAAAGCTTGAGTGGTTTGTCTGGGATTGAAAAAACTTTCGAGAGCTATGTAGAACCTCTATCTGAACCGATTGTCATATCTACTAGTCAGAGAAAACGATTGAGCGCGTCTCCTCCAAGTAAAAGACCTGTTACATTATTTGGAAAAGCAAGGCTTGGGCTCCAATATCCTGTTCTCGACCGAGAAGAAGAGGAAATAGTGTCCACGAGTAGTGATCACGCAGATAGAGTTTCCACTGAATCAGTAAATGCATCATTTCAACAGGACGAAGTCATTGAGATGAATAGTGTCAAGTCATTGGACAGAGAGAGTTCTGTAGACTTAAAGGAAACAAAATGTGAGTCAACGGAGATTAAGAAATGTGCTAATGTTTCACTCATTGGATCATCAAAGAGCTATAATGCGAACTTGAGAAAGTTTTACCGGTCTATGAATGTGCCAGTACCTCGGCCTCTCCCCTCCCTCGTGGAGCTTATGAAGCTCAACAAACGTGCCAAGAGGAGTATATGAACTCTTTCTTTCTTGTTGCAACATTCGTCTGTTATACTCCATACAGCCATATTTAGAAGCCATAAAGTGAGCGAATGATTTTGGAGCTGGCCATTGTACACTGTGATTCTGATGATGGCGATATACTTTGATCAATTTCTTGTAGATCGTCCGTTGTTTTTTCTTGTTAAGTGCACAGTGAAGAGAAGCAATTCAATGCCATTCTTTCAACGTGATTTTTCATTTTGATTATTGTTTATTGTAAATTTTAAACCGTGGCAGCATTTTTAGCTGCCAGTATTATGTACATTTGGGATTGTCTTGATTCTCGTCTGGTAGAAATTAATGAGTTTCTTCTTATGAAGGCTGAAAAATGAGTGCAATAACTTATTTTTAATTATACATTTTATCAATAAAATAATATGCACATAAATTTTAAAAAAAAAAAATCTTACTTTTTAACTATACATTTTTCAAAAAGTCGCTATCACAAAATTCATTTTAATATAAAAATGGGGCTCAACATAGGCATACTGTTTCAATTTCACGGGTTTGACTAATCCTAATTTTTCCTTTTTCTTTTTGGTTATATTCTTATTCTAAGTAAATGATTATGATACACAATGAAATATTGATGACCAACTTGTATCAAAGCAATAAATTGTAAATCAATGATGCAATTTCTCTTAAATTAAAAGGGGGAATTACATTATGAAAAATAAATGGAACAGCAATTGGTACTGACACATTCGTTTACGGAAGGATGGAAGAAATTTCAAACCCTCTCTCCTCCGATCTGCCCACCATCACAACGCCTCCACCTGCCGCCGATGGAAGCAACACCTTAACTTCTACATCATCAACAAGAATGGCAGGCCGGGCCGAGTGGCCCACAATCGATGGTCCATTGGGGCTCTCACATCAAGATTCAGTCGCTTACGCCCGCAGATTCTTCAATTTTGGATTTTTGTGTCTTCCTTTCCTTTGGGCTGTCAACTGCTTCTATTTCTGGCCCGTCCTTCGCCACCCGAATTCTCATAATTTCCACCCCCAACTCCGCCGCTGTAAGCCTCCCCAACTCTCTATATGTAAAATTAACTGCATGCATTTTTTATTTTCGGTTAATTTTTAATAGTTAGGTGAAGAAAGATACACGTTTAAGGTTTTGAAGAGTAAGGGATTGCATTTTTTGAGTGGTTTTTTAACATGTAAAATAATTTAGGGTGTAGGTAGATTAGAAATTTACTTTTAAATTGGATTCGTGTGAAATGTGGATTACATTGGGAATTTCATATTGTGGATTTTTGCACATTTAATTTTTTTTTAATCAATGTTTGTGCTCGGATCATTAATATTGAAGGGAATTAGCCACTTTGCATGCTCATTTAGTTCCATAAATTGGTAAAAATATTTACACATCAGAAAATGCGATGTATGTATTGTGATTAAGAGCAAGTCTTAAATTGGACTAATAAATAACTTTTTGCATAAAACGATTTTTAAGTAAATCATTATAAAAATCTAATAGATGGAAGTAGAATCATTTACCTCCTATGTAAAGTTAAACTTAAAGGTCAGAACAATTCAATCATTTTGTTTAATTTTCTATGGATCTTGCTATTTGGCGATAGTATTTGTGATGTGATCATCCCATTTTACACAAATCAACTTTCACCTTCTCCTATCCATGAGGAGTTTATTTGATACTTATACAATTTCACTCTTACTTTCTCCTATCTGAAGCGCATGGCATATAGGTCTTGTACAAAACAATAAACAATTGACATCTGATTGTAACTAGGTAGACTATTGCTTTGAGAATGTATCAGTCAAGAAGTATTTTTTGCATTAGTTCACTATAGACACATAAATTTTAATGTTTTTTCCCCCTAATTCTTTGGTCTTCCTCCGCTCATAAAATTAGTTTTATCAACTAACCACACAATGTTGGTATCAACTCCGAAAATATTTGTAAGCAAGGACCTTATTTGAAGGAATAGGTACTTCTCTTAGTTTAGATATTCATAAATGAAACCAGATTTTGGATGAAAGCTGAAACAACAATATAAATGATTGGATGAATTATTGCGTGCATTTTTTGTTTTCAGTTAATTTTGAAGGGATTACTTTGAGGTTTTGAAGAGTATAGGACGATTTATATGTATTGAGTGATTTATAATATGTACACTAATGTTATGCGTGTGTTTCGACTAGAAATTTACTCCACGAAAGGTCTCATGTGAGATGACAATGGATTTTTTGTCATTTTGGATTTATCTGCACTTTTTATTTTTAATCAATCTTTTTTTCTCGGATGGTAAGTTTTGAAGTGGAACATATAACCACCCTCTTACTAAGTTGGGTATAAATGAATAATGCTATCTCAGAAATTGCATTGAATACTTTGTGATTAAAAACCTTTTTCAATGGAGTAGCAAATATGAAATAATTGTTGTTGCAAACACTGGTTCTTTAGGAAGTTATTTAAAGAATAATCATTTTCAAAGCAATTTGTTCCAGAAGAGCTCCAGGATTCCTCCTTGGAGACAATATTTTAAAAGGACATTGGAAATAAAGTCATTTGCCTTTTGTGTACAGCTAAGCTGAGTACTAGCTCATGATTGAAGTTCAAAATCAGTCGTTAGGTTTCCTTGTGTACAAGTTCAAAATCAGTCATTAGGTTTCCTTGTGTACAAGGCAATAGAAACTGTACATACTATGTGAAAGTCATCAATCTGAATGCATTATGGTTTTGCTTTTAATGTAAATGACCTCATTTTTGGTATCTAAATGAGGTTTTTGAAGATATATCTACTATGTCAATGTTTGGTTGATTATTATTTTATAATTATTTCAAGTCAAACCTACTTTTTATCCATATGTTTCGTTGTACCCACAACTGCTATCGCTTATTAGTCTCACATTTCATAGTATCCACAACCTATATAAATTATAATTTTAATCACTAATCAAACAAACCAAAAATTCACCGTATTATATTGTAAGATTTATGTAAATCAATATTTCAAATATTTGATATTGGGACTTGGATTTGATCATTGTAGCTCAACACACCCACATTCTTAGCTCTTTATAACTACCGTCTATAGAAAGTTATCTTGTCCTAACTATCTAAATATTATTAGCTTAGATCTTCCTGTTGAATACCCTTTAGCTTTGTTCTTCTGGATAAATGTGGTAAGCATCTGCTATTTCAGGGAGGCATAGTTTGGGAAATTTAGAGAATAAGTATGTA